AATATAATAAACCAGAGACACCGGTCAAAGACAAACAAGGCAAGACAATTACCACGATTGAAGAACAGAGGAACAGATAGGTAGAGCACATCGAGGAACTATTGAGAAAATCAACTCCATTGAATCCATCGGATATCGAAGCAGCACACGCAGACCTTCCTATTGATGTCACTCCACCAACAATGGAAGAAATCAGGATGGTTATCAGACAGATCAACAGTGGGGAGGCAGCAGGACCTGCCAACATACCAGGTGGAACACTGAAGTCATACATAGAAGTAACTGCGAACACGCTTTGCACTCTATTCAGGAATATTTATGAGGGAGGACAACTGCCGACAGACAGACTGGAAAGACGAGTAGCTCATGAAGATACCAGAGAAAGGAGATCTGAGCAAATGTGATAACTACACAGCCATCACACTAATTCCAGTACCAGGAAACGTTTTCAACAGAGTGTTGCTAAAGCGGATGAAAAATTCAGTGGACATCCAACTTCGAGATCAATAAATCGGATTTCGTAACGATTAGTCTTGCACAGACAAAGTCATGACACTACGGATAATTGTTGAACAATCAATTGAATGAAATTCGTCACCCAACATCAATTTACTTGATTATGAGGAGTTTGACAGAGTAAATAGGCCAACTCTATGGAACTTTGTCCAACAATATGGTATACATAGGAAGATTGTCAACATCACACGCAAGTAATACGAAGGACTACAGTGTGAATTGGTGAATAGAAGACAGATGTCTGACGCATTTCGAGTAAAGACCGGAGTCAGACAAGCCTGCTTACTCTCACCCTTCCACTTTCACCTGGTGGTCGACTGGATTATGAAAACCTCGTCATCTGAGGGGAAGCACGGAATAAAATGGAAAACTTAGAATCAACTAGACGATTTGGAACTCACAGATGACCTAGCTCTTCTATTCCATATACAAAAACAAATTCAGATAAACACAGCCAGTGTAGCAACAGTCTCTGAATCAGTAGGCCTTAACACATACAAGGTAAAAGAAAGATCCTCAAATACAACATGGAGAACACCAACCCAATCATACTTGATGGAGAAACTCTGGAAGATGTGGAAACTTTCACGTATCTACCTGGACACCTTCATCTATGAACAACGAGGATCCAGTGTAGACGTAAAGGTGAGGATGAGCAAAGAAAGGACAGCATTCATATAGTTGAACGAAATATGGAACTCAAAACAGCTGTCTGTCAACTAATATCAAAGTCACAATCTTCAATACGAACGTCAAAACAGTCAGTTCTACTGTATGGAGCTGCAATTCGGAGAACTACCACAAGCATTATCAACAAGGTATACGTATTTATAAATAATTGTCTACTCAAGATACTCAATTTCCGTCAACCGGATACCATGAGAAACAGCCTACTGTGGGAGAGAACAAACCAGCTTCCAGATGAAGAGGAAATTAGGAAAAGACGCTGCAGGTGGATAGGATGTACATTGCGTAAATCATCAAGATGCATCAAGAGGCGAACGCTCACCTGGTATCTTGAAGGGAAATGGAAAAGAGGAAAGTTGAAGAACTTACTGCGTCAAGAATTGGAAGCAGGCATCAAAGGGACGAATAGCATCTGAGAAAGATTTTCCAGGACATAGTTGGATGGAGAATGCTGGTTGGTGGCTTATGCTTCCCACGAGGGGTAACAGGCCTAAATAAGTATGTAAGTATATTAAATGCTGCAGTCAGGATATTTCTTGTAGATTGATTCTAGGACTATTGTGACGGTGGAGATTTTTAGCTCAGGTGGACGATTTTGATGGAGTTTTGTTCTCTGAGGTAGACTTCTACCTGAAGTTTGTGCCGACATTGTCATTCAGAAGAAGGATGAAAGTTTCACTACCAAACTATCTAGCTCAGAGAACAAAATTTCATCATAATCAGAGTATACATGCAAGTTCTATATGATGACTTTAAATAACATTTTTACGATTGAAATTACAAAATATATTTTTAAAAAAAAACAGTTTTTTTAATTCACCATATCTATCCATGAAGTTTATCTAAAAGTAGTAATTAAAAGAATTGAAATTAACATAAAAGTTAACAGATTTGAAAGCTGAAACAATATGAATCAAGTCAATGAAACTTCAACAGAAATCAATTGTGAATAATTTGTAGTGAGATTTGTATGATATAACAAAGAAATTAATACGTAAAATTAAATTATACCAAAGAAAATAATCGTCTTTATTAATTAAACATAATCCATTAGATCCCTCAATTGTACTCATGATAGACTAACCATAAATAATATGACTTCATTATGAGAATATTTATACCCACTTATTTTAAGTACCATGTTAAATATTTCATAACTTCCTACTTTTATTATTATCTGTGTCTTATTGAACTCAACTTCATTGATTATTTATACTGATTACAACTCTAGGTCCTTTGTTGTTGATGAGAAGTCCTGAAATATAATGTTTTACTGTACTAAGTCGTCCTGTTTATTGATGTTTTCATCTATGTTTAAAGAAAGAATGATGAAAATATGATGCACGTTCAATGGTATTTCAGTGAATACTTTGAAAGTGAAGTTTGTGTCTATATGGTAACTAAATGTTTCGAAACAGAGATTTTTAATTGCTCTTTTTTCTTCTTTGATTTCATTCCTAACTGTAAAAATTATTTATTGATGTAGAACCTTGATGAGAAACTATTTCTTATCTTATATTTTATCTTATATATCTTGATGGGAATATTTAGTATACATTGAGATATATTCACAATTGATTGATCACTGGGTGGTGATCAATGTCATGCTTGTCTAGTCCTTATTAGTGCAGATCAAATGCTATCGATCATGTTGCAATGTGGCCACCAGTCTAGGTGACTCGACACTGCGGGCACTATGTATTGAGATTAGATGGTGGTTGGAGGTAGTCAACAGGAAACCCTGGACCCGGGTTTCGTGCTACTTGGCACTCGTCAGCAAGGTGTACCTGTAATCTTGAGGGAACTGGTGCTCCCTGGCGGACTCGATCTCGTGTCACCCAGCTTCACAGTCAGAGACGTTACCACTGAGCTATCCGAGCCGTGACTAACCTCCGTCAACATTGAGATATATTACTAACAGTTAATATTTATACTACAGTTAATTCTTCTAATACTATACTCGTTAATTTCGATGTTGAAAATGTGTTAGCTTGACTTACACAATAACTAGGGCTTAAAAATCCTAAATAAATGTTTCATCTAATTAATAAGAACTTTCGTTTAAATTTGAACGAATAGTTTCACAATATTTGGGCGCCGAGTTAGTGTGAGACATTAAAGAGGAAGAATGTATTTGTAAAATCTCAACGAAAGAATTTGAAGTCAATCCAACGTTTCACCTGGCAATCTGGTCCAAGCTTTTTCATCTAATTTACCCTAAACTATTCAACATTACAGTTTCGGTTTATTTTGTTATCAAGATAAAAGTGTTAATAAATCAATTATGATTATACAGTGTAATGAATAACAATTTTTAATTTTCTATTCATAAAAGTTAAAAAAATTCTAAAAATATTGTTGTGATATTTAGACCGGTTAATTACCACGTGACTTATTCACCAATCGGAATACGACTTATACAATCTTAGTACTGTGCCAAACCAATGACCTTCGACCGGTATGAGCAGCCTAGAGTCCCTTCTTGGTCCTTTTTCCTGCCTAATTCTACCAGTTGAGTCCAGAACACCAATACCAGCTTTCACTATACGAATCATTTATTCCAAACATATCTGATTTACATACAAGCTAAATGGACCACACCACACTATAAAATAGGAAATAAAATTTGTACAAGATCAAGCCAAAAAGTGTCTGTGAACGTGGGAGACTGTAATTAATAAACTGGACATAACAGTAGATCGTATAATAATGGTCTATAGGTCGGAATAAAGCTTATAATAAAAGGAATTTAGATATACACAATCTAGTTACTGATTAGTTATACAATAAGAATAATATTAGTCCATCAATAATTCTGAGAAGTTACCTGTATTTTAATCTTCACTAGGATATAACAAATATGTATATGAAGGAATTAATCACTGTTATCTAAATATTTCTCTGAAATTCGTGTTTAAATAAATGGTGGTTAAGTTGAAAATGATACCACTTTAAATTTAGTTGTAGATCACCAAGGTATATAATCTATGTCAAATGATTGGCAGCTTACTCGAGTTTGACGGGAATGATGTGACGAAACAGCTAACTTCGAAATCACACTTTGCGGTCAACATCTAACGTGGATTACTCCTTCAACGTATCAAAGTACTATGGCTGCTCTGAAGACCGTATAACATTAAGGAAGTTATTAAGGAAATATATTAGTAAGAATGAGTACAGAGAAAATAACAAGACCACCACCTCATGCGCCAGTCCATGGCATACGATTCACTGATGCGTGTTGGTTGTCCGTGACCCTGACAGGGATCGACGATCAGTGACCCAACTGCCGGACGATTTGGCTAGCGCTCAGTGACATTTCACTGACCCTATATAGTCAACCACTTGTATATATATATATATATATATATATATATATATATATATATATATATATATATATATATATATATATATATATATATATATATATATATATATATATATGTGATATAAATAAGAGGTTAGCTCAATGTAAATAAGCATATCATTTTCAGTTAATAAAATAATTGGATAATTTTCTGTTTTAGGATAGGCAATGATGTAATAGATTGTATTCAATTTGTTACAAGAAATATGAATACAGCTTATAATATCGAATTGATGTTTATGGACTAACTTGATATATATCAACATGACGCAATCAAATGTATTCTACGTCATAAGTAAATAGAATATATGAGTTAAATTCATTCAAGTATTCCCTCCAACCACGAATTCCAAATTGATTTGATATGATTGGTAAGACAATGTATATATGTACTTATTTATATTCTGTGCACCCATAAAGGATTACTTATAACTTGGAAATAGTAAGTTATTTGTACAGCTTTAATTGACAGTCTGGACAACATCTTCAGTGCCTATTTTATGTAGAAGTGAGCCTTCCAGTTATTCCATAAGTGTTATATCAGTGCATTCTGATGACTTAGTGTATGACAGACTGTTTTCTTAGGTTTTATTGTATTCGTTTGTTCCTGTAATAATGTTAACTGTCTTTGAATATTTGATCCATGTGACCTGGTTTCCTGTATATTTATGTTTCCAAAGATCCCGTATTTATTCTGTCGACTAAAACGTTCAAAAATAAGATTTTTTTTCTCTTGTGGATTTGACGTCATCGGAAATCTTGATGACCAACATATGAGTACTTTCAAGCAGATTTGTTTCCATGATAACGAAAGCATCATTTGCATAACGTATCGGAATCTTTACCTTGATTACTGATGGAGCTATAATCTTGTGCTTTTGCATCGTAGCTCCTGAAATTAGTCTTGATATGGGAGATCACGTTACAGTTACTTTGTGCAGCCTGTAAATCAGACGGTTAAACAGGTTACATGTTATTAGACACAGGTTTGTGAGCATTCTCGCATCTGGACACCATATTTGTGTATGTCTGGTGAGTTGTTCGTTGTTGCTGAACAAAAGAACTGCAATATAATCTTCTATATCAAGACTGATCTCAGGAACTGTGATGCATCATGTGCTTCAGGCCAAATAAATTCAGAGCATATTGAATCTATTTTAGAAATAATCTATTGTTGAACCATATTTTTTCTATTAGATCATCATCAAGCTTCACTCTTGTATACAGTAATATGTTCATGTGCATATGTGAAAATATTGAGACACTTTAGACAATTTGAGAATTAGCAACATTTGCATATATAAGAAACCATTAATATATGAAACTGTTTTAGAACAAGCGATGATCAGTTATCTGTCAGGAAGAATTCAAAAGTAATTATGATTGTTATATATACATTTGAATAAAGGGGTTCACTTGTGTGCTCAGTAGAAAGAAATGATTCACTCCGAGAAATTTGTTTATGAACGGATAAATTCGATATCAAAAGGCATGCTATGGTTCATTTTTCGAATAATAATAATTTAATTCATCTGATAAAACTCTGTAAACCGTATTAAGATCAGACATGTTTAGTGAAATGAATAAGGATAACTGCCCTCTATGTATGACTTCTTTCCTAGTGTAAATCACACTTACAGAACTTTAAAAAATCTTACGGGTTTTCATTTTGCCAACGACTTACTGTCCAACTAAATAAAATTATAATCCCTACATTCTGTTCAGACAGGTGATGAATAAAACGTCATTAAATCAAACCCAAATAGTGTACGACCGAACACCTGAATTCAAAATTCCAAACAACACCTTTCCTATGTATTCAACTCCGCTCCACACATCGAATTCAGTTAAATGCAGTGAACTCTGTCAGTACGACATACCGGACATATCACTTAATTTGGCCGCTTTATCGCTAGAAGACTATGACAAAACTCCAACAACTGATATCTCAACAATGAGAAATCGATATTCTCGAAAAAGCTTACTTTGCGAATTACCGGTCTCCGATTGTTCACATAGAAGGAATTCGTATGTGGAATGGTGTCACCATGATTTTACTAATGATGATCATTGGCGGATTGTACGCTATTATTTTGTTGAATCTAAACATTTACAAATGAATACAAAGGCTTATTTAGATGATGAAGTGAATCATTCCACCAGGTTATATCGTATTTATATTGATGAAAACGGCAATAAATATTCATTTTTTTAATCAGTTGTATTATTTTCGAACAATTAATTTGTATAAAACTTGATGGTAGTTTTATTTCAAACATTATTTATCACATAACTAGTGTATTTTCGAAATGGCTTTTATGAAATAAACACTCTTAACTTCTTAATGTTTTTGAAAATAACTGTAATTTTAATTTTGTATAGACGAAGGTCATTTTGTATGACCGTTGCGAAGTTTATGTGAAATGGTACATGTATTTTGTTAAACTGAAATATCATTACAAACTCATCATGTTCCAAGTCAAACAAGATTTATATATCTGAAATGGCCTGCTTGAATATTTGGGCTACCTGTTCCTTCCATCTAGATATTTCAACAAGTTATATGTTTCGTTGTTTGTTTTAACAGATCATTGTGTCAATTAATTTCATAATCTATTCAGGTGTGTTCGTGAAACATTTATGATCTTTTGCTGTACAAAATACAAAAATTTACAATCGGAGACATCGTAGTGGCTAGCAATCTGCCTTGAAAAGAATGAATATTGTTCAGATGTTGATTCCTAAACTGGTAGCATCTAAACTTATTTACTTACATAGGCCGGTCACCAGCATTCTCCATCCAACCATGTCCTGGGCAATCCTTTCCAGCTCCTTCAAGTTCTTTTTCATCTTTTTCATATATGATTCTATTTCTCGACGTAAAATGTTCTTTGACCTTCCCCTTTTCCGTTTCCCTTCAGGATTCTAAGTTAGGGCTTGTCGCGTGATGCATTTTGATGATTTATGTAATGTATGTTCTATCCACCTCCAACTACTTTTACTAATTTCCTCTTTCCAACAGTAGGCTGTTTCTCATGGTATCCGGTTGACGGACATTGAGTAACTTGAGTAGACAATTATTTATAAATACTTTTACCTTGTTGATAATGCTTGTGGTAGTTCTCCGAATCGCAGCTCCATACAGTAGAACTGACTGTTTTGACGTTCGTATTGAAGATTGTGACTTTGATATTAGTTGACAGACAGCTGTTTTGAGTTCCATATTTCGTTCAACTATATGAATGCTGTCCTTTCTTTGCTCATCCTCACCTTTACGTCTACACTGGATCCTCGTTGTTTATCGATGGTGTCTATGCAGATACGTGAAAGTATCCACATCTTCCAGAGTTTCTCCATCAAATATGATTGGGTTGGTGTTCTCCATGTTGTATTTGAGGATCTTTCTTTTACCTTGTATGTGTTAAGGCCTACTGATTCAGAGACTGTTGCTACACTGGCTGTGTTTATCTGAATTTGTTTTTGTATATGAAATAGAAGAGCTAGGTCATCTGTGAGTTCCAAATCGTCTAGTTGATTCTAAGTTTTCCATTTTATTTCGTGCTTCCCCTCAGATGACGAGGTTTTCATAATCCAGTGAACCACTAGGAGAAAGTGGAAGGGTGAGAGTAAGCAGGCTTGTCTGACTCCGGTCTTTACTCGAAATGCGTCAGACATCTGTCTTCTATTCACCAATTTACACTGTAGTCCGTCGTATTAATTCCGAAAGATGTTGACAATTCTCTCAGGAAATCCGTAGTGTCGAAGAAGTTTCCATAACGTTCTCCTACCTACACTACCAAACGCCTTTTGATAATCAAGGGAGTTGATGTACAGTGACGAGTTCTACTCAACTGATTGTTCGACGATGATCCGTAATGTCGCAATTTGGTCTGTGCACGACCGATCCTTACGGAATCCAGCCTGTTGATCTGGAAGTTGGGCGTCTACTACGTCTTTCATCTGGTTCAGCAACACTCTGTTAAAGACTTTCCCTGGTACTGACGGTAACATCTGAACTTGTGATCACTTAAGATTTATCGTCAATATCGATCAAGAAATAAGAAACGGAAACTTGCTGAAATAATTTGTGCTTTGAATTCTACATCGTACCAAAATTATAATATTGAATAAGGATAACAATTATAACAATAGGTATCGTTACCAAGGTTTGACTTGTTAATTTCGAATAAATTGAGCATTAGGTAGATTGTTATAAATAATAATAATAATTTCAGCCAAGTCGCTATAATATTTAACTGTGGTTGCACTGAGAATACTGCTAAAACATCTAAATGACTGAAGCCTCGGTTTTGAGCAAACTCCGGTTTGGATCATGAAAAGCATCGTTGAAGAAGTTGTGCTTTGATATTTTTGTGGTTTAGTAGTTTGTTTACTACCAATTTTCTTTAATATTTTACTGTATATTACTTTTGATTAACAAGTAGTTTAATAAACTGTTTCATGCTTTTAATGATGACTTGAATAATCGTATTTTGTGAATAATCTCATAGACTGATAAACTATTTGCTCACTTGAAGCTAGTTCAGAAAGCAACAATGTTGTATTCTATGGCAGAAGTGAATTACCTTCATGTTACCAAATTGCTTCTCCGATTTAAAATTTTGTTAACTTGTCGGATTAAGATGTCTATTTATTTAAATATCGCATTCGGCATATGAACTGAATCATTGATCCCATGTTCGACTGAAAACTTATAGATTAAGTATAAAGTCTAGTTTAAATGTGAATCTATGTAACATCTCTCTATGTAACAGTTCTTTAAAGAAATGTACTTACTTAGTTACTTAGTTACTTACTTACTTACTTACTTACTTACTTACTTACTTACTTACTTACTTACTTACTTACTTACTTACTTACTTACTTACTTACTTACTTACTTACTTACTTACTTACTTACTTACTTACTTACTTACTTACTTACTTACTTACTTACTTACTTACTTACTTACTTACTTACTTACTTACTTACTTACTTACTTACTTACTTACTTACTTACTTACTTACTTACTTACTTACTTACTTACTTACTTACTTACTTACTTACTTACTTACTTACTTACTTACTTACTTACTTACTTACTTACTTACTTACTTACTTACTTACTTACTTACTTACTTACTTACTTACTTACTTACTTACTTACTTACTTACTTACTTACTTACTTACTTACTTACTTACTTACTTACTTACTTACTTACTTACTTACTTACTTACTTACTTACTTACTTACTTACTTACTTACTTACTTACTTACTTACTTACTTACTTACTTACTTACTTACTTACTTACTTACTTACTTACTTACTTACTTACTTACTTACTTACTTACTTACTTACTTACTTACTTACTTACTTACTTACTTACTTACTTACTTACTTACTTACTTACTTACTTACTTACTTACTTACTTACTTACTTACTTACTTACTTACTTACTTACTTACTTACTTACTTACTTACTTACTTACTTACTTACTTACTTACTTACTTACTTACTTACTTACTTACTTACTTACTTACTTACTTACTTACTTACTTACTTACTTACTTACTTACTTACTTACTTACTTACTTACTTACTTACTTACTTACTTACTTACTTACTTACTTACTTACTTACTTACTTACTTACTTACTTACTTACTTACTTACTTACTTACTTACTTACTTACTTACTTACTTACTTACTTACTTACTTACTTACTTACTTACTTACTTACTTACTTACTTACTTACTTACTTACTTACTTACTTACTTACTTACTTACTTACTTACTTACTTACTTACTTACTTACTTACTTACTTACTTACTTACTTACTTACTTACTTACTTACTTACTTACTTACTTACTTACTTACTTACTTACTTACTTACTTACTTACTTACTTACTTACTTACTTACTTACTTACTTACTTACTTACTTACTTACTTACTTACTTACTTACTTACTTACTTACTTACTTACTTACTTACTTACTTACTTACTTACTTACTTACTTACTTACTTACTTACTTACTTACTTACTTACTTACTTACTTACTTACTTACTTACTTACTTACTTACTTACTTACTTACTTACTTACTTACTTACTTACTTACTTACTTACTTACTTACTTACTTACTTACTTACTTACTTACTTACTTACTTACTTACTTACTTACTTACTTACTTACTTACTTACTTACTTACTTATTTACGCCTGTTACTCCTCGTGAAGGAGCATAGGTCGCTCACCAGCATTATCCATCCAACACTGTCCCAAGCAATCCTTTCCAGCTCCTTCCAGTTGTTATTCATCCTTTTCATATCTCCTTCTATTATCCGACGTAATGTGTACTTAGGCCTTCCTCTTTTCCGCTTCCCTTCAGGATTCCAAGTTACGGCTTGTCTCGTAATGCAGTTTGACAATTGGCGTAATGCATGTCCTATCCATTTCCATCGTCTTTTCCTAATTTCTTCTTCAGCTGGAAGCTGATTTGTTCTCTCCCACAAAAGGCTGTTGCTGATGGTATCCGACCAATGAGTGTTGAGTATCTTGCGTAGACAACTATTTATAAATACTTGTACCTTCTTGATGGTGGCTGTTGTAGATCTCCAAGTTTCAGCTCCGTACAGTAGAACTGCCTTGACGTTGGTATTGAAGATTCTCACTTTGATATTGTTTGACAGTTAATTTGAGTTCCATACGTTCTTCAATTGTAGGAATGCGACCCTTGCTTTGCCAATCCTCGTCTTTACGTCTGCATCTGAACCTCCTTGTTCATCGATGATGCTTCCCAGGTACGTATGTGAAGGATTCTACATCTTTCAGAGTTTCACCATCGAGAGTGATTGGATTGCTGTTCTCTGCTTTGAATTTGAGGACCTTGGTTTTCCCTTTGTGTATGTTGAGGCCTAATGATGCAGAGACTATTGCTACACTTTCTATCTTGATCTGCATTTGTTCGTGTGTATGTGATAGGAGGGCCAGGTCATCTGCAAAGTCCAAATCGTCTAATTGGTTCTGAGCTGTCCATTGCGTTCCGTGTTTTCCTTCAGATGTCGAGGTCTTCATAATCCAGTCGACCACCAGAAGAACAAGAAAGGGTGAGAGTTAACAGCCTTGTCTGACTCCGGTCCTTACTTGGAATGCATCTGTCAGCTGTCCTCCATGCATGACTTTGCATTGTAGTCCGTCGTATGAGTTCCGGATTATATTGACAATCTTCTCAGGAACTCCGTAGTGTCGAAGAAGTTTCCATAATGTCCTCCTATCTACACTGTCGAATGCCTTTTCATAATCAATGAAGTTGATGTATTGTGACGAGTTCCACTCAACTGATTGTTCGACGATGATCCGTAGTGTTGCGATTTGGTTTGTGCACGACCGATCCTTACGGAATCCAGTTTGTTGATCTCGAAGTCGGGCGT